GCGCGCGCGCGCGCGCACGCTCGCTCGCTCTCTCTCTCTCTCTCTCGTTTTTTCTTCTCGCCCAAGGGTGTCGTTTAGTGATTGATTCTTCTTCCCAAACTATCTTGTTGATTGATTGATCGATTGATCTTTCGATGGAATGATGAAACAAATTGATCGATTGATCCTTCGATGAAATGATCGGTCCGTTGGTTGTTTGTGTCGTTGTCCATGATTGATTGATTGACTGATTGATTGATTGATTGATCGACCGCTTGATCGGTCTGTTGGCTGTTCGTGTCGTTGTCCAAAACAACGACAGGAACAGCCAACGGACCGATCAAGCGGTCGATCAATCAATCAATCAATCAATCAATCAATCAATCAATCAATCATAGGTGGTGGGAAATGCTTATGTGGCAGTGTGGCACTGGTACTTTGAAACTCAGAATTTTTTTCGTCTATTTGTACACCCCCATGCAACGAATCATTTCGGACTTTTGACCCGACGGGGGGGTGGGGATACGCTGTCCGAACAATTAGAGTTTCGGAAATGCTTATGTGGCACTTGCTGTTGTGCATCCCCCGCAACGAATCATATCGGACATTCGATCCCATGGGGGGTGGGGATATGTTGTCCGATGAATTGAGTTTTGGAAATGTTTATGTGACACTTGCTATCGTGCGCCCCCTGCAATGAATCGTTTCGGACATTCGACCCCATAGGGGGTGGGGATATACTGTCCAATTAACAGATTGTTCATGCTGGTCCGACCGTCTGCAACGAATTATTTCTGAATTCTTGACCCCGTTCCGAGTCGGGCGGGGGAAATGTTGTCCGATTTCCTTGTCTAAATCTATTTGTCGTTCCATCAACTACTCAATCAATCAATCAATCAATCAACAAAAAAAAAAAAAGCAAAATCGAATGAATCTTCCGCTAGAACATGGAAACATACAATACTGCGTGTGTGTGTGTGTGTGTGTACACCCTGTCTCTTATACACATCTAGATGTGTATAAGAGACAGGTGCTACGCTGATTACGTATATATACTAGGTAACCGGTGTTCCAGACGGGCCGAACGCCCGAACCCGAACGCCCGAACGTAGGGGACCCCTTGGGAAAGGCCAAACGCAGACCAAAAAAAAAAAAAAAAAAAAAAAAAA